GTTGACAGGGCTCAGCTGGGGCTTTCTTGAACTTAGTGGCTAGGGCTTGAGTCATCTGGAGATGTCCAGTAAAGCACTGATATGGCTGTAGATGATGCTGCCTGTTGCCTGGGAGTTCAACCAGTGTTTTTGCACATAAATGTATGAGTCCTCTCTACTTAACTTGGATTTCCTACAGCATGGCGGCTGAGTTCCAAGAGTGTTCCAAGAGACAGGAAGTAGTGGTTGCCAATCTCTTCAGGCCCAAGCCCAGAAATTGGCCAAGGTCACTTTGCCATATCAATGGTCAGAGCAGTCATAGGCCCCACCTAGATTTACACAGTCCAAAGCTCAGCTTAACTCCTTGCCAGCAAGTTGATACCGACTCATAGAGACCCTCCAAGACAGGGTAGAACTGCTCCTGTGTTTTCATGACTAACTGTTTATGGGAGTAGAAATTGGACATGTTGGTGGTTTTCAACTGTGGACCTTTCTGTTCACAAGCCAATTTGTAATCACTATGCTACCTGGATTCCTTTACACAGTGAAGTGGGTGTCAAATAATGTGTAGCTATTTTTAACCTATCACTTCAGCATTAAAAAATGCAACAAATACTAATGAGGCTAATTGTGTTTATTCTTTATCTTTCTATAATATTTAAGATTTGATAAATTCTGTGTACAGTGAGATGTTTGTTGGCCCAGATGACTTTGACTTCTTCCAAATCGGAGTTGACACTGAGGTAACATTTTGCGTCAAAGAACTGAAGGTAAACAAAGTATTTGTGTCAAATTAAAATTCTGATTTTCACTGGTAGCTTCAAGATTTAAAGTATTCTTCTTTCCTTCTTTCAGGGAATACTGACATTCTCAGAAGCTATACATGTTCCTATGTCCATTTATTTTGATTTTCCTGGAAAGTAGGTTCTTGAAAAATTTTCTGAGTTATTTTCTTTTGTTAGATGTGAAACAAACAAACAAAAAGCCCTCACTGCCCGGAGGCTGACTCTGACTTGTAAAAATGAAACAAAGTGACCACTGCCATAGCGTTGATTCCAACCCATAACAACCCTACACAGGGTTTCTGTGACTAGACATCTTAGTAGGAGCGACAACCTCATCTGTGTTTATAATACACCTCTTTGGGTTGTTTTGAAAATAATTCACACTTCGGAGATTCTGAGATTGTACTAGCAGCACGTAGCAAACTGAAAATCTAAAGTCTGCTCTACCAAGGTGTTTTGTTAAACTGGTAACTTGATTGAGAAAGATATTCTGCAGACTAAAAATATTTGTAGATTTGACATACACTGCCTATTCAGAAAATTAACTAGGGCAATGGTTCTCAACTTTCTTAATGACGTGACCCTTTAATACAGTTCCTCATGTTGTGGTGACCCCCAGCCATAACATTATTTCAGTTGCTACTTCATCACTGTCATTTTGATACTGTTATGAATCGTAATGTAAATATCTGATATGCAGGATGTATTTTAATTGTTACAAA